TAGAACTGGTGATAATTAATGGAGATTGTGAATCTCAGGTGCACTGTATTACAGCAGCAGTAGGTGTAGCTTATGTCATTGGCCTTCATTTTACATCTCACTTCCTCCTTTTTCTTTTTCTTTCTTTCTCTCTGTCTTTCTTCCTTCTTTCTTTTCTTTTCTTGTCTTTCTTTTCTTTCTTTTTTTCCTTCTTTCTTTCTTGTTTCTTTCTTTCTTTTTTTCTTTCTTTTCTTTTTCTTTCTTCCTTTATTTTCCTTCCTTCCCTCTGTTGTTCTGTTTTTCTTTCTTTCGTCTTTCCTCCTCTTCTCATCTTCTGTCCCTTCCCTTCCTCCTCTTCCTCTCTTCCTCTTCTTCCTTCTCCTAGAGCTTGTGGCTGTCCATCGTATTTAAGTAGCAATATTTGACTTGAGTGGAGCTAATTGTAGGTCATAGACAGGTTTTCATGACTGCACCCATATATCTTGGATATTAATGTGCTTGGATTAATTTCCATCTGTCAAAATCTGCATCTCTGTGCCTAAGGGCTCTTGTATTGCAGCTGTAGAAAGTCATGCCACCTGTGAATGCAACACAGAGAAAAACACTCAACCAGTGATTCTGGAGAGCTGATTTATAAAGACTCTAGCTTCCTCATTCCTGAAGAAGGATAATTCTAGCTGTGTGTTTTTCATCATTTCTGATAGTTTTCCCTTTAGTTTAAGCTTTAGTTGGTGACTGTGATACTGACTTAATAGTGAACCCTTTCCTGTATCACTTCCCCAATCCCTACCAGTGTGATCTGCACTTCCCAGTAAACTACTTTCACTGGAATCTTTTTTTTGAGCAACTAATATATGACAATACGTTCACTCTCTCAGCCTCAAATTTCTCATCTCTACAAAGGGAACATTAATACCTATTTTGAAAGTTTGTTAAAGAGTTAATAATAAGGTACACAAAGCACTTAGCCAATACCCATCAGATAGCAGGCATCCCAGAATTAGTGTTTTTCTGTTCAGAAAATTCCTAATTTTCATGTTGAAGATAAGAATATTTTTGTAATAATTAACTAGATCAACTGAATACATTTTTTTCTAGCTGTACTGAGGTATAATTGACAAATGAAAATTGTGTATATTTCAGGTATACAAGGTGATGCTCTGATATATATATTCATTGTGAATAGCATATTTATTAGGTCACGTAGTTACCATTTGCTTTTTATTTTTGTGGTGTGAACATTTAAGATGTAACTTCTCAGTTAATTTCAGATATATGATAATATGTTTTTAACTATAGTCACATTACTGTACATTAGACATGCTGAACTTATTCATCTTTCATAACTGATGCTAGTCAAGAGAATGTCCTAATTTTCATCTCCTTTACCTCACCCCTGAACGATGATCACAGTAAGCGGCCGTTATCTCTTAGCCAAGTCTTCAGAGCATCTAGATTCACAGTCTCAAAAGTTGGCATCTGTCATGGAAATCCACATTGTTAACTCATCAGAGGTATTTCCACCACTCCCATGCTGGTAGGAGGTCCCAAGAAGGTGACCCAGGTCCCCAACTTTTCAATTTCTCTCAGAGCCAGCATCAATCAATCCTTACATGAGTGAATACTTATCTTACATCAGTTCAGGACTCGAAGCACCAACCTCTGTCTATCATGACTTCTTTGAAGGCACAAGTTCTACTTTGCTCCTTTCTTACCTTCTTCTGATTTCCCTGGAAACAAAAGTTTTTTGTTTCTTTAGATGCTTCATATTGGCCTCACAAAATGTGAAGGTTGTTTTATTCCCTCCTCGGCTCAGAGATTACGGATTGTGCCAAGTCGTACACGCCCAGTGTGCAGTTTCTCAGTTCTCAGCTTTGTTCTTAGTTAATTTTCCTCATAAGATTTCAAGTAG